ACTACTAATTTCATTACTAGCAACAACTTAAATACTGATTATAGTCACATTTTCATAAAAAGCCACCCCCAAATTAAATCACATGAATAGTATAGATATATAGAATAATTTACTGTTGATTGAGGTGGAGCTAGTTTTAACCACCGGACTAAACTACTAACTTTATACATTAAGCTAGGTTAGTTGAGGAGTTCCCAATCTAGGGGAAATCTTCATATATTAAAGCAGTCATGACATCATTCATAGGACAGTAAAGAAGAAAAAACAAAATTATGTGACACAAATTTAAATGAAACCACCTGAGAAGTTTAAAGGGGAAATGTCTCTTTGGTAGACCTGCTAACAACTCAGACTTAGGAAATGTGAGTGGAGCCCAAAGCTCAGAGCCAAATCAATAATAGATCTTTATTAATGAAATTCATTAGCATGTTTTTATCTTAAATCTTAACTAGTAACTTAAGTTGTCACATACATGTATTGGAGTGAAAAGTACAACGTTTCCCCTGAAATGTAGTGGTGTAAGAGTAAACAAATAGCAGAAAATGGAAATACTCAAGTAGAATACAAGTATCTTCAGTCACCTTCCACTACTGCCCTCTGGTGGCCATATTTAAGGACTTTGTCTTGTTCAGTCAACAAAGGTGAGTAAACATGGTTCATTTCTGTTGGATTGTGATCTTGTGTCATCACTGATTCGTCTGATAGATTTTATCATTAGACTATGACAGCCTCAGCTCTGGTGAAAATATTGAAGGATTTACAAATGTGATCGTTATAGTCAACAACAGCTTCCTCAGAGGCAAGTAGGAGGTTTTGTGATTGATCAAGAAAAGATAGGATGGGACTATGTTGTGCAAAGTAATTCATGTTAATCATTCAGCATCAACACAGCAGCACAACTGCGAGAGACTAACTACTGTGCCTGCTCATGTACTGAAGGTTACTTTCATAAAGATGCTTTGTTATCAACCGAACGCCTAAAAAAAAAGTGCAGACAAACGTCCAGATGATAAATAGTATCCACCATCTACTCAGCTCAACTAATCAGCAAACTAAAGCTTGTGAAACAAAGCCAGTCTTCGTTGACAGTCTGGTTTAGGGTCTCGACTGTAAATCAAAGCCATCAGATCTTCATGCTCCATTCAGCACACTGATGCTCTGCTGCTGCTGGCTGCTAATCAGCTGCAACCACATTACTCTCCTCCTTAATAAGGTTTACTGTGCGTCTGCGTTACCAACCCTGTCCCTCCTCCAAACACACACACATAAACACACTAATGGAGCCTGTATCATACAATGCCCCGCAATGTGTGTGCATCTGTAAAAGCTTTTTGCTGTGTCTTTGTGTTGCAACATCTCTGTGTGTGTGTGTGTGTGAGAGATTGTGTTGTTAAAGCATTGTCATTGTTGCGTGCATGAAGACCTGTTTGTCATTTAGTTTTTGTCCTAAAAGCAAGAGTGAGTGTACAGTTTGATTGTCATGAGATAAGTTTAAGTAGAAAAACAAAGTCAGGTGTGTGTATATTTGTATGTAAAAGTGGGTTACACTGTGTCATTGTACATTTCTGTAGGAAGAGTGTGTGTGTACAGTATGTAGGTTAATGTTCTTCATTGCGTTGCTGTATTCGAGTGAGAGGCGGAGCTATTCTCATCAGGAGCCCTCTAAAAAGCTAATTGGCTGAGGCAGTAAAGGTCAGGGAGCCCAGCAGGATGCAGACCAATAAGCCACATTCTGCCTTAACCTTTATAAATGTGAGCACATTTTGGTAACTGAGCTCTAGTTTCAAGGTCTATCCTCTCCATAGGTTTCAGAAGGACACACATTATTCATTTTATTCCTGTTGGAAATCAAAAAGAAGGAGGAAGGTTTTGGACTTGTGGAGAGGCTTTGATTCTATATTGGGTTGTGTGGGCAGCTCTGCTCAATAATACAAACACATTTTAGCTCCCTTTCAGCTCTGCCCAGTAAAGTGCCTTGACTCTCGGTAATGAGCGTCATTGAGTTTGGAGACAGTCTTTTGTTTTATTCATTGTTCCTGCGCACTGATCTGGTCTCTTCATTCGTTCATATTCCCTCTGAAACAGGGTCTGAAGGTGCAGCTGTTTGCATGCTGCCTCATTGGAAGAGCAAAGTCACGCAAGTCAAATGCAGGAAAACAGATTCGTATAAATCGAAATAAGTTTTAATGACTCAGCAGGATGAGGCAAAGTATTAATTAACTGTCTTGCTGAAGGTCATGCTGACATTGTCCTGATGAGGAAAGTAGAGCCAGGGAAGAGGAAAAGCACTAATGCTTCACAATCATTGGACCAATGACACTGAAATCACAGAACTGACAGGACAATTCTCTAATCTTATTTTTTGTTTTTTGTTTATTCAATTTAAAGGTCACACACTGAATTTGAAGATAAATACAGAATTTGAATCTGTTTTAGTAGCAAAATGTATACACTGAAGGATTCAACCAGTGGCTCTGTGTAGCTGCACTCAGTTACAATGCTGCTTTGTACCATGGATGCACTCCTCTGCAGTGAAACTGAAGATAAAGCAAATCACTTTGTAACACAGAGAGATTTTTAAAACATTGAACATTGGTTAAATGGTACAACAGTGTTTACAAGCCCACATCTTCTGCATGTCACCACCCTAATGCTTTAGATTAGTTCTGCAATGTAGGGTTGTTTTCTTTTAACTCTAATTGTTTCCACCACTTTAGCAACAAAAGCGAGAGAGAGATTGTCCTCAGTCTACTGAGCAAAGCATTTAGAGACTGGCTTGTGACCCTGCTCCGCATATACAAAACAGTCTTCCAGCTGTCCAATTTCCAACCCACTCCACATGCGCATTAGTGTATAATAATACAAAGAGTTATGATAGACCTTGTTTGCTGTTTGAGGTGTCTAATCAAAGGTTTGACAGAATGTCTCTTTTATAATTGTGGTTTAAGGGTAAAATGTATTTTGGTCGCAGGGGATTTTGCATATATATATATAGCGGAATCAAACCATTTAACACTTCACAGACATCTTGATGGCTTCTGAGAAAACAATAAAACGCTTTATACTAAGAAAAAAAGTCTTCTAAAAATGCTTTTAGCACTTTTTATAGTCAGTACATCACTTGAGTGCTTGCTGACAAAATGATTCCTTAATTGGATTATCACTGAGCGTCAAGATATTTTATCAGTCCTGTAGTTATTGAAGAATAAATATTCTTTTTTGACTCATTCAGGTGGTTGGGTTGGGATTTGGTTTGGGGTGGATGTAGTAGGCACGAGCTACCTGGCCCCAAAAAGAGGAAACAGGATGCCTGACTTTCGTAGATGGATAGGTTCACATGGATGACAGAATAAAACACGATTATTAACAATATAAAGACATTACTATTATTATTAGAGATGTTCAGCACATGTATGCATAGATTTTCAACATGACTGTACTAAACCTACAATACTGAACCATTGTCAGTGAATAAACCAGGAGCTTTTAGTAATGGAATCCTCACTGAGAGCGCAGCTCAGCTGTGATTCAGTGTGCTATTTCCTCATTAAAAAGCATATTAACGGACTGCGAAAGCCACAGTATCAATCCATTAATAATCTAATAAGTCAGTTGTAAATAAGTAGCTGCTGAGTTGCATGTGTAGCGCTCCTATAGGTAAGTATTGTACTGAACTGAATGTAGTTGGGCGAGCAACAAACTGTACTACTGAACTGAAAGCCATGGCACAGCTGTATCAACAGTTACATGGAAAGTAAGGGATTAACCACAGGAGGTCAGCAAAAGCATGATTCTCAGCTGCTGTTAATTTAATGTTTAAGCTTCCAAGATTTTCCATAATAAAAAGAAAACTACGCTAAATAAATAAAACCCTGGAAATGGTCATTGCCAGTTTTGTCTCCACAGCAGCTCAACAACAAGCTGACCCTTTCGTATGTAACAAATATGCTGAGCGGACAATACAGTTGTCGGTTCATCCAAGAGAATCGCGACAAGGGATGTGTCGACTTGGCATTTGCAAGTGATTGAGTAGATCTTTTTTTATTTGAGTCAAATTTCTGCAATGTCAGGTTTCTGAGGAAATGCAGTATACAAGTTTCAGGGCATGCTAGGAGACTAAATACAGAGAGGGGATGCAAGTGTGAAGGGGAAGAACTGATATTTACCACAGGGAATATTGTCAGCAATTGTGCTGTATGTAGTCACACATTTTCTCAACACACACACACATGCATGCGCGCGCACTCAAACACCATTATCTTTAAATCTGTCATGCCAAGCCTTGTTTCTATCCTGTGTTTTCATCTGTGTCTGTGCATCCGTATAAAGCACTTTGTAACACTACAGCTAACAAAAAGCGATCTGTAGATAAATCTGCCTTGACCCACTTTGTTTTGCTTTTTTCATTAACACTGTGCAAGTAGAAGCATGGTGGAGCATGCAGGAGTGTATCAATATCAGGACAAATGCAATGCAATGAAAGCAGCTTGTAGGGTCAAATAGCTCTGGTAACAGGTCTAATTGAATCTGTGTCAGGTTCTCAGTGCAGGTACATCCACCACTGTATGCAGCACGATGGAAATCAATCTGTCCTCTCTGAATCCATGGACAGTCTAATTTCATTGAAGGCTTCTCTCTCTCTCTCTCTCTCTGTACATGTGCAGGTTAATGAAGGTCATTGTATAATCCTATTAGAAAATGAGTGTGTGAGCAAGAGAGACAAGCCAAACAGGGATAAAACCATACTGCTTCTTCCAATCTGGGCTCTTTCGGACTTTCACATACGAGAGTGTGTGACGGTTGCGTTGAGACCATTCATNNGTCAAGCCATATTTGCAGCTGACTTATGCTCCAACAGAGATAAAACTATACTGCTTCTTCTCTTCTGGGCTCCTTCGGACTTTTACATACAACAGTGTGTGACGGTTGCCTTGAGTCCATTCATGGATGACTTTAACAATACCTTACAGAAAGACAAGATCATACATTGTATGCTTTATTACAAAAACTGCCACCACAGTACATTAGGACTTGTTCCAGTGTTCTCATTTTACAATTTAAAGGAAATGATAACTACTATCTTAGAGATGATTAAAGGTCTGTGATGACTTGTAAAAATCAAATGTTTATATTTTAACTATGTAACAAAGCATTTTGCTTAACATGATATATGATCTACTGAATGGTGACAATGCTGAAATAGCTTCATACTTCTTCAACTTCTTCTGTCACTCTACATCAAAGAGGCAAACTATTTATTTATATCAATGTGTTGCAGTAACCCACTTTGAATCTTAACACCTTACCAGACTGGCTTCTTCTCTATTCATTGTGTACTTCTCTCAATGCGTATGTGTATGTACCCTGGCCCAGGTCAGGGGTGTGGAGGCTCAGCGTCCTCAGGATCGGAGGTGGCGTGATGTACGAGGGGGCAGCAAGCCTGGGCCAGTGCAGCTCCTCTTCTGGTGTCGGAGTCGTGCTCAGTGCCTGAGAACAGAGTAAACTTTATTGAATGGACACAAAACAACTATCACTTAAAAGGTTACAAAAAAACAAATCTACAGAGATCAAAACAAACACCACTGATGTCTTCTCACTTACTTTACAGTAAGCTGGGGTTGTCTTCAACTGGATCAAATCTGGAGGGGCGAGAGGGCTGGAGGTGGGACTGGAAGGGTTGACAGGAGGCGATTTGTCGGTCAAGGCCGAGCTCAATTCACTACAGTTGAGGGTTTGTTCATCTAGCAGAGCACTGAACAGGTTGTTGTCTTTACTCTGAAAAAGACAAAGCAATAAAGAAGACTTTAGCGGTGATTGTTTGTTTGTAAAACAAATTGTCCACATGACAGCACTCATCCATCCATGTTTCGCTGATATGCTGACTGAAGGCAGTGGTGGTGTGGATGAGGACAAGGTTAGTGGTCATACCTGGGGGTGATGGCCGACCTCAATTTCCTTAATAAATTCCAGGCCGGGCAGCTCTTCCTCTTCAACCTGAGACATCAAGAAATCTCCTGTTTCCTTCCGATTCATTTTTAATTAACACATGTAACTGTATAGTGGTGTTCAGCATTTATGTATTTACTGTACATCAATTAATCTGTTCATAAACCAACACACATCCTGTAATTGTATGTTGTATTGCACATTTGCAGTTGGGCAGTATCGGTACTACAAGTGGCAATGTTACTAGTTTAATTACATTTCTCAGTAGTGTGATGGTGTTGTCGCTGTTTTCTGAATCGAATAGCTCTTCAGCATCTCAGCTGTTATTGATTAAGTAGTTCAGAAGCATCCACACAAGCTTCTTTTCACCAAGCATTTCCTAAGCTCAAGCGCAGTGCAGCTTTTTGCTGTGGTCTCAACTCATGATTTAATACAATCTATGATACAATTATAATACAATTTCCCCACAATTTATTTGGACAAAATGAGATTTAAGACAAATTATGACTGAAAAAAAGATTCCTTTATTCCTGTAAAATATATTTTCTTTTTATTTCTGAGGTAGGTTATAAATTGTGCAAATTGTCTTATTCAGTTTCTTTGCCTTTAACATCCAATCAATATGTAAATACATTTAAAATACTTTTTTTAAAGCAGTCATAGACAATAACATTGTACAATCTCCTTTCCTATATGCTAAATTTAACAACCATCCACTCATTAAAGTAAGAGTAGCAATCTTATAATCCAATATCCATTAAACAGCCCACTGATTGGCTGTCAACTTATTTATTGTCAACAACAAGCTGTGACCTTCTGAACAGTGTGACTGACTATACATTAAGTAGCATTGGACTGCAACCCCTCTTTCTGCAAGTGGTTAAGTAGTTGTGTGTGTATACTGTGTGTGTGTGTGTGTGTGTGTGGAAGCACTGACAGTATGGCTGGTAAGATAAGAGCTATGGACAGTGGAGAATAAAAGCTTTACAGCAACATTAAAAGATTGGTTGAGAAAGAGAAACCATGAGAGGGAGGGAGAGAAGAGGAAAAGAGAGTGCACTCATAGATAAGAAACAATAGAGACACAAAGCTGCAAATCCACCACAAACATCCAAATAACACAGTACGAACACTAATGGTTTTGTCCGGCTGTACTGAAACCAAATATTTTTTACATGGAACAGCAGCAGCTAGCTGTGTTTCCCATTAATTACCTGACTATGGTACGCGACTATAGTTTCACAACGAAACTAACTAACATTGGTTTTACGCCATTGCTTCAGCAAAGCATCTCTCATTCACAGTACAAGTATCAGCAATCGATTAACTAGTGGACAATCTCCCCTCACTCGGCCCCCTCCTGTACACACGTACAGACGCTCTCTGGCCATGTGTTTATTTTACCAGTGTGAATCAGATAAAGCAAGAGGGGACAGCAGTGAACATTAGCTGTTGCCGACATCATTAGTTACCATGTTGTTTTCGATTGTTTTCATAGGCTACGTCATTAACAACGAGCCTCCTTCACCCAGCTCACCTGCTGAGTCGCGGGTAAAAACGTGAGTTGTGCTTTTTGGGCAACTTTATAAAAGTACCTGCTGAAGAAAGTCAACAGAGACACATACAGAAAGACAAAAGAGTTGAGGCAAGCCAGTGTGTGTGTGAGAGAGTAGGTGTGTGCGTGGCTTGTGTGGAAAAGAGTAAAGTTACTGAAGGAAAAAGGAGACGTGAGTAAGTGGTTTGAGTCGTGAGAGAGTTAAGTAGTGAAATAGGTAATATATAATGTAAGTAATATATTATTACACTAATTCTCATGCTGTGAGAAACACTGTGTATGCCTGGAGTACCTCCAGTGAAGCTGACATGGACAGTTCCAGCATGTTTGCAGGCTTGGGGGAAGAAGTGGTCTCCTCTTCTACCTCTGGCAGGTCAATCATTCCCTCTCCCAGGTAGAGACTCACTGGGTTGACTGGGACACAAAGCTAAGGGAAGAAAAATTCAATATACCAAACAAGTTATGTTATTTAGATCAAGTATCAATATATAAACTGTATTTCAAAATTCTACTATACCACGGCCACATACACCTTTGTCTGTAGTCAGACTGACCCACAGTTAGGAATTATTCATTAATAACCTAAATACAAGCCAATCAGAATCTAGTATCATGACCATTGTACAAATGAGTCGTGTGTGGCTCACTGCTGCACTGCTGCAGGCTGTCCCGTGGCCCAGGCTCAACAGGGCAGAGTGGATGTAGATGTCGTCATCAGTGTGTGTGTCACACAGGTAGAGCTGCAGCACATCTCCAATGTAACAATCCAAAGCGCCCACCAGGGTGCGATCAGAGCACAGCTTCTGAAAAGAAGCTATGGCCTCAGCAGTCCAGCTGCCCTGCAAGAGGCAAACCACAAACACTCAAATTCATAAAACTCCATGGTAACAGAATATCTAGAACATCCAGCGTCTTGACAGTTTGAATTTATTCATATATACAAGAGGAAATATGTGAGCAGCTGCAAGTAGCATGAAGGAACACTGAATATATTAATAGATAAGCTATCAGACTCACAGTGGTGGGTTTAATACCAGAGAGTGATGACGGAACAGCCTGAGCTGGAAGAACCGAATAGCATGACCTGAGAAAGAGAGGTGCACTGTAGAGAGCTCCGCAAAACACAGACACTGATCAGCTTAGTACAACTATTGGTCATAGTAGTTATCTTGTTTAAC